AATGAAGCTAGAGCCTGCATATTCCAACCCTTTGTGGCAGACCACACCCAAGATATGACCATTTTATACACAGTTCGGAGGGACCCAATTAGCTCGCACTTCCGAGACAGGCAGAGTGGAGGAAAGCCGAGTGCTCCTTTCCTGAGGTTGGTACAGACAATGGTGCCCTAATCTTACCAATGCCAAAGAGCGTGTGTCACCCCAAACTGCTGACAAGCACGCATCAGGCTGCAAGGCCTGGTTATTCTTGTTGTTATGGCAAACACGCTTGACAAACGAACTTAGGGAAGAAAGGGTTAATTTTGACCCAAACGTCAAGGTTAGCCTTGGAAGCATGACTTCATGCTTCATGCCCTCAGTCATGAAGGTTAGCTGGTACCCTCATTGCTAACACTCTGGGCTGCCAAGAAACCGCTGCTTAGTTGCCCACACAGAACATATAAACTCTATTATATTTTTTTTTAAAACTGAATGGCAGCTTCCCGTAGAACAATTGGAATCCAATCTAAGATGCAAGCTCTTTACCACCAAGAAGAAACCCGCAATGCAATCACCTGCATCGGTGTTTGCTTTGTTTTTGAATTTCATTAAGAACGTGTCTGCCCAGCAGTCTCCTCTTCCAGGGCTCCCACCCCTCACAATTTCCTGCGCTGCAGCCACTAAGGAGGTCTGAAGGATTCTGCAGGCTTTGTTCTGAGTGGCCAGCCCTGGAACTGGATCACAAACAGTTTTCCTCAACTGGCCTTGGGGAATTTTTTTGTTTTCTTGGTTGGTTTTTTTTTTTTAATGCCTCCTTGGAGACCCTGGTGTAGAGCTCAGATTTCCCCAGCTTGCTCTTAGGAGACTGCACACGGCCCCTTTCCGTGTGGAACTCAGGAATGCTAGAGACTCCCTCTCTTCCCAGGCTTTCCGGCAAATCTAATCCCTTATCTCTTTAGGAGCCTTTTGGCTAGTGCTATTTTGATTTCCCCTGCATGGGGCTGAGCCTCTGGCATCCTGGCCCTGGCCTCCTCTCTTCAGTGGGAACCTCTGGGCTTAATGCCTTCTACGGAGATGATGTCAGATAGTGTTTCCCAATTTGTTTTCCAGGAGAAGCCTGGCCTGGGTTTGGCCAGAAACTGCCTCCTCTGCTAATCTTCCTCTTCGTCCTCCTCTGCCTCCTCCTTGTCACCGTCCACCACCGCCCTTCCTCCCTTTCCATTGCCCTCTCATTCTCTTCTTCTGCTGCAGCTTCCTCCCTGTTGACTCTGCCTCTCAGGCTGACCTTAGAGACTTAGAGGGTTTTTTTGGTGATGGTGACCGAGTCCTGCTGAGGACACTCAGAGGTGCCAAAAGCTGCTTTCTCCTTTTCACCCTCCTCATCTTTCTCCAGTCGCCAACAGCTTTGGGGTTTCAGATGTAGGAAAGCTCTTTGCACCTGCCTTGTCCTTGAAGCTCCCTGCTAAAAGACTCTGACCATCCTGGCAGGAGCAAGATGTCCTAAAGAGAGATAAATATGTCCCTTCCTTCATTTAACAGTCTATGGAGACCATGGACCCCAGGAAATGAGAGTTTCCCCTGGAGTCTTTATCTATCTATCTATCTATCTATCTATCTATCTATCTATCTATCTAT